TAATTCTCTTCTAGAAACTAGTTGGAAAAGTATAAATATAAAAGGATACAGAGTATTCTTTTATATTCTTTATTTTTTATTAATTAGTTTATATTGGAATCTATAAAGAACTATTCTTATACCACTATAGCAATGGTATAATCCAGTTCTATACAAACTATACCCTAATTGTAGTACTGATACTATCCGGCCTATTCTTTGCTTGTGATCCCTTATATTATTATAAGAAATAGAGATTCTATATTATTCGCTATCCTATATACTTATTTAAAAATAAATAAGATTTGAAAAGAGAGAGTATTATTATAGGTTCATTATATATAATTATCTATATCTATCTACACCCATTTGTACCTATTTGTACTCATTTATACCTGTTATATATATACTATCTATTCTTAGTTAGCTGCTGAAGCTGTGGCCGAGCAAGCAGCCCTTGAAATCGCCGCTACAGTATTCTGTAGGATAGTTGTCCTGTACCAGCGTTACTTGAACCACTTGAGCTTCTTGAAGACTTGGTTCCCATCATAGGATGGATTGCAGACACAGCTGAGATTGCAGCCACTCCAGCCCTTATTGAGGCCTGCACAAAGGTAATTGAGAAAGAGGGAAAGGCTGAATTCAAAGTTTTTGGCAAGACGAAGACCCTTACGTCAGCCGAGCGAAAGACCAAAGCCACTGATGTCCCTGATAGAACTGAGCCAAAGTCACCTACACCAACAAAATCAGGTGATGAGACGTCGCCAACATGCAATGCGAAAACTTCCAGGCGCGCGATCTTGGAGAACAAGGTAGGCAGGCAATGAGGACACTGCTACTATGAAGATCATGATGGCTGCAGCAAATAGAGACAGCAAAAAGTGGGGAGATGGTGACGAATGGGCACTTCTATCCAGTAAGTCTGCTACTCGCCTTCTCATATTTTACTAGTGTTCCTCCTTTCACGACGCTCATTACTGACCACATATATATAGCTTGGCCACAAACTGGATCCATTCCATAGCCAGAGCACTATCAACTAATCGCGGCTATGTCTCCAACGTTTCAAAAGTTACCAATGAGAAAATTAGTGAGTGCAGCGAAGATGCGAGACGAATCTCCACAAAGCATCGAGATTGGAAAGCAAATGCCTACGATATTCGCACCCAAAATGGCAAGGTGAAGTCCTATAGTCATGTTAATTACCTCGTTAGACATATAATTGCGATTGCATGATTACTGTAGAATATCCTATATAAAAGATCTTACACCACTTCAGCTGTGCTGTCATCCTGTTACAAATTTGATATTGTACCCTAAAGATAATAATAAGGTGAAACATAATTGTGCATTTCAATAAGATGTTACGCGTCTACAGCATATCAGCTGACTCCGGTGACTAGCTCGGATAACAAGTGAGTGGGTGAAGTATATATATATCTCCTAGTACCCCATTTCTCTCAGTTCCATTTTAACCACCAACATTTTTTATTATATTATTCTAAGGCAGCATCACTAAATTTAATCGGATTTCTCAGTATCTCAGCATCTCCAACCATGTTCTCGCCATTAACCGAGTTTATGAGTGAGGTCGCTTTTGGACCAGGAGCACGAACAACGAAGAAGTATCTACATGGGAGTACATGTGGTGTGTAATTGAAAGAAAATCACTAATTTTCATAATTTGACGCAAAATAGATTCGGTTCTCAAAGACCTTGGAAAAGTACTTTCGAGTGAGTTTAAAGAAGAATTTCTGCGAACGACTTTTGACAAGTACTGTGTTGAAGATTCACCCGAGGAAAAATGTGAGATTTAATATTCTGATATAATTGACCAAATACTGATGATGTTCTAGACTGGAACGAAGGGAGTTTCAGAAAACATGTCAGAAATTTCTATCATGAGATCGTGATCTCCGATCCCACTCTACAACTTCTCTGGAGAAGTTTCCATTTCTACGCGTACCACCCATTTCCTCGTGATTTCGAAAACGGAAAACTGGACCATGACGCCTTTCAACGTGCAGTTCTAATCCTGGTTTTTCGATATACCGAGCACTTAGGTATGGTAGAATCTGAATGGTTCTGGCGCAGCGATATGAGATATTACTACAAAGCCAGCTTTGAACGCATTTTCAGAAGTATTGGAGCACTACAGCCTGAAAAGAAAGCAACAGAAACGCAAAAAGGTATCGATTCAACTGTAGAAGATGCTGTGGATGTTTTGGTTATGGTCGCACCCCAACGCATACATCGCATGCCATCAACAGAATATTATGAGCTTGAGGCACAGAGATTGCTCAGCGAACAAAACATCTTAGCACAGAGATCCATAACGCGGAAAGATACTTCGCTGTTAATAAGTTTGTTGCTCCGGATGCGATTGGGCGAAGAGAAATGGGGGTCATCTCACCATTTCGGTTATTTCGCGGAGGTTGATCCTGATAGTGAATCGTTGACTGAGAGTTTGGTTAATAGCTTGATGGGATCTAACATAGAGCAAACTGTTGCATCTGGAGATCTTCTCAAAACAACAAATTTGATAGTAAGTTGATTTTGGGTCCACGTATTCATGGATGATCTTTCGACTAACGCAATAAAGCCTAATCTTCTTTTACGATTCTTCCAATTGTGGGCGGTGCTGTTCCAACCCGCGGCTTCTACTGCCGATATAACACTATCTCCATCAACGGAGCATGAAATCGACTGTATACATAGTGCAATTGCACTATCTGTCCCACAAATCGACATCGAACTCAATCGCCAAAAGTTTCGGCGAAAGGAACGTTTTGTTTTCGAAAGATTGCAAATTCCCAAAACTCTAGACAATATGACCATAGGTCATCTAGTCGAAGCTCTGTCAAATTCTTCATCTACGACCCTTGTACTATATATTAGTGACGTCGCCGCTGGAGTACCAAAAACTGTCATAGCCGCCTATTTTCCTGGAGGTTTTTTGACTTCCCCATGGGAGAAGAAGATTAAGAAACCTGAAACTTGTAACTATATTGCCCATGTGCTTTTTCAACTACAACCCCATTTCCGGCTTCTTCGATGGAAAAACCCACACGTATCACCCATGGGGTGCCTCACTCAAATATTAGAAAATCAAACTACGCAGTCACCAACCTCAGAACTACCTTATCACATCGGAGACCCAAGTGACCACAGTGAAGGTCTTCGTATCGATCCGGTGAAGAGATCAGTAACGCTTACAAGCGGTCGTGGAAGGTGGTATAAAGACATGAATGCAGAAAGCAGCCAGAAATGGGAAGTTACAGTTGAAAATGTTCGAATGGATATTTTCAATGTTACCGGAGTCGTAGATGAGATGTTGCCGGCTGGCATGGTCAGAGAACTTGAGGGGTATAATACACCGCCTGACGTAAACCGGGAGGAATTGTCCAAAAGAATTGTGGGGTTTGGTTCTAATTCTGATTGAGGAAATTGGGATTATTTGCAAGCATAAAGGGCGAAGTTCAGGTCGTGGTGTTATTTTTTTCATTGAATAACTTCATTCTTCGTCTCAGAGGCGAAAGGGAGAACATTGAGGAGTTGGTGGACGAACATCTAAGATCGTTTTGTTAAATCCTTTCACCTAATAAGCAACTTTCTTTTCACCATTTTGCTACTTACTCCCACTTCAAACTCTCCCCAAATCTTTTCTCTCTGTATTCCCCTCACCACTCGCACATTTTATTTCTCACCTCCAACCCCTCACACTGCTATCCACATACTACCTACATATTCATTAGCTATGAACATTGGCACTTGAGACAAATAAAACATCAACTTTTTAGATTTTCCAACCAAGGTTTTCCAACAAGTGCACAATGTTTTGGCTCTTTGATGCGCAACTGAAAGTTATGATTTGACTCGAGTTGCGTTATCCAGGGTTTGCAGCTACAGTAAGGCGGATATAATCATCATATAAGAAGAAATTTGGAAGTGAGTGTGCAGCTAATTTAAGTACAGCGGGGATAGACAAAATTTGCCAAGGATGGCTTATTTCTAGACGGGATGAGATGGAGATGATCCAACTGTGACGAACAGATGATTCTATTACTTAGAATACTAAGGTGAGGAACAAAATAGCTGCAAGAGCATACTTATCTACAAGATGAGGAGGCCTAGTGCTTGATCTAATTTCACTTGGAGATCAATTACCCCATAACCTAGGATCAGTAAAACCTCGGACCGGTGGGAGGCGTGTTGATCCTCATTTGGAGCGTAGCATCAGTCATATCTAACATTGTATGGGAAAACAGCATTATACATTTTCAAACTACCTACGAGTAGTGTATCATGAGCAATGATTACTATAGTAAAATGAAGTCCAGCACTGTTTGAATATTATAAATCTACGAGTACTGTAAACTGCCAGTTTAATCAGAGCGCTAGTTTAACTGCCGGTACAATGCTTCTTTCTTGTACTTTAACTTCCGCAACTCAACTCAACTCAACTCACTATACTATACTCAAATGAGAGTATATTATCTATCTATACTCGTATAGCCTTCTACTCGAACACCCATCACTTCACACATTGCATGATAATGTTATATTAGAGTAGATTAGATTAGATTACAACTACGAGTATGACCAACTAAGTAAATTTCAGCTCATGATTGATTTTAACTTTGTCCAATGCACATTTCCCATTACCAGGATGATACAAAAATAGCAAGTTTTCATCATCACTCAACTCCATCAATAATCATACGTAAAAAAGTAGCGCCCTACACAGCATTCATCATGAGCCATTACTCATATATCATATCATATCATAAAATAACCATCAATCAATCATCCAATCATTTGCAAAAGCCAACTACGCACTCCCATCCATAAATACATCCATACACTCCCATCATTGTCCGCATTCTCTTTCAATACTGGAAGACAACGAATCATTTCCACCGGTCGTTGATTTTCAATGACCTTCTCGCCAAACCAAGCTCCATGTAATCCGTAAGGAACCCGTTGCGGAAGCTGAATTTTAGACATCACTTCTTTCATATCCCTCGCATCGATAACCCACAGCTCACTTGTTGCTCCAGGGCCTGCAAAACCATGTTCGTCAATTTGTGCTTCGTCGAAGACGTAGGAAAGTAACCAGCCATCATCTTCTGTCGTGCCATTTTCTCGTGGTACAAATCTTGACTCCTGGGCATAAAATCCTTCTGGTAATTTGAATATCTTAATGGGATCATTGGGGTCATTTGAAGCGAGAACTTCGGCGACAGTGCGTGTATCGACGCAACCAGTGATGGGGATTTGGCTTGTCTCTTTTCCCCGAGTGATCAACGCAGTAACGTCAACCTTGACAAGTGAGTCGATTTTGACAGCACGACCAAGGGCAGCTCCAAAGGTGCTGTCCGAGACGGAACAGCCATAAAGATATTGAGCTTCCGTCATTGCCGCGGAATCCCGTAGAGAGGGGAATTCAAATGGTATTGATGAGAGAGCGAATTGATGGCTTATGACATTCTCCGCTTGAGTGAGTGGGAAACGATAATAGTATAATCGGCATTGTTCTTCCTCTATTGGGGCGGTGATTGGATTGGCTTTCGGAATAGGAGCTGCAACATCACCTGCGCTAAAGACTAGTGAAGCACTCGTCAATCGGCAGGCTATCATATTAACTGATATGATTTCCTCTTTTTTAGTAAATGTATTGATGGCGTTTTCGTCCCAGCTATTCGCGGTGTGAAAGATGCAGCAAGCATTGGTTTCGAACCATCGAATATCTTCTGGTTTCCATCTTGGGAAGATGCCAAATCTGGAACGTCCAGCAGGGTCATAAGCGACAACAGGTTGATTGCGGGCAAGGTTTAGAGGATCAAGTGAAAGTGGAAGATCCATAATTATGGTATGGCTAAGGGACACTCCGAAATCATGCATCATCTTTGCGGATTTGACTCCAGGAACTGTTGCGTTGACGAGTCGGGGGATTTGATTAAGAGAGAGTTCATGTTGTGTGCTGGGTATAATAGAATAATGTACAAAGGGTGCAATAAATGTTGAATGAAAAAGTATGAGTTCGTCCGTGACAGGATCGATTCTAGGATGTGCCGTTGTCCACTCTTTCATAAATCCGATGAGCCCATCTCCACCAATGACTTCACCGAATTGTACCTCTGCAACCGGCTCCCCTTCTGCTCGAACACCATCGTACCAGCCGACAGTCTCTAAGCCAGGTAAGGAAATACGCATTGGTGGACCACTCTCGCACGTTGCCAGCGCCCTACCATCATGAAATAATACACTAGTATTCGCTACACTTATTTTCTTGATTGCCCTTGCAGATCCAGGTAGATTCGAGAGAATGACAAGGAGAATGGTTCGGAAAATTCGCAGAATAATCGTAAGAAGAGTTGAGGCAGGATTGACGAGTGTTGCTATACTCGGAAGTATAGGTGAACGAAGAGAGGGCGTTGAGATGCTTGAAAGGTATGTATCGGTAAGGATATATTGATTGACGAAATGTGGATGAATTCTACCGTCTTCCGCTCTTCGAAACGCTACACCACTGAGCATTCCATCTCCGTCAAACCAATGTGCATCTCTACCAAGATCTTCGTTTGTCACCGGATTCCCTCCATTGCGTACATATTCTCCGCCTGCAAGCTCCTTCGGAATGATACCAGTGTAAGTACAAGCTGTCAAAGGTTGTGTGCGATGTAGAGGTGCGAAGTTTCCATGGAGATATGGGTGCTGTTTCGTAGACCCACTATTTTTCTCATCGACGAACGTCATGAGCAGACGAATGAAGGAAAAGCTGTGTTTGGAGAAGTGTTCAACATGAACATGTGTAACTTGAGGTAAATGGACAGGTAACAGTAATAGAATGAGTGAGTAGCAGTGTATCAAGGTAGTCTCTGAACACAGTGGAATTGTGAATAGTTTCCTAAGACAAATTCTAGGTAGTGTTACGAAGTACTCGAGTAGTGTATTAAGGGTTATTGATGGTCAATTAGGTATGTGTATGGGTATGGGTATGGTAATGGGATATGAATATGAAGGAAAGGTTCTCCTGTTCTAGAAGGACTTACATGGGCCATCAGAGTAGAATTCGTAACCACTTGAGGCAAGATAGCTTTGTCAGGAGAATATGGCATTGTTCCTTCCTTGGCCTAGAACCCTTGACAAGGGAAAATGAAGGGTTAAGGTGGAGGGTATGACGACAACTTACTACTCGAGTAGTATTAGGAATACTTCACTTAGTTACCGGTAGTACGGCAGTTGTTGATGGAACATTGGACGAGATGGGAAAATAAAATCAGGATCCAAGAGTTGGATAGGAATTGCACAACTGCATGATCAATCGAAGATTACGTAATGATAAATACTGACGACATGGATCCCCGCCACCTTGTACCACACCACACTTCTGTCCAACATTCTCGGATAACTCCTTCATCTAGATTCATTCATTCAACATTTCACTCAACATTTTGTGGTATCGATACTCACTGATTTACGATTTATAACACAATCGATATAATGGTATTGTATAGATCCTTTCGTCAATATATATTTATAGTTATAGTAACCTTAAGTAGTAAGTAACATAGGATTTGACAATCATCGTCATCGACAGCAGTGTTTAGAGACAAAGTACCGGTACCCACTAGCACAGGTACCAATCACAAGCCGCTTCCCGCAAATGCCATGCTAAAATTCCATGCCAATGGGAATGGCTAAATTTACTTTCTTCCACTTTACTGTACTATCTTATTTGGACCGTGACTGGGATGCTATTTCCGTCCCATTTATTTTCTTCTAGCATCATTTGTCTAACATTTTATCATTTTATCTACCGTATCTAATCAACTATTCTACCCGCATCGCTCCATCCCTTTTCTATTCTTCGACTTGTAGGTTCTGTATAGACATGTCTGCGTCTTGTAGATCTGGATTCCACCAAATTTAACTCTCTTAGCGTCAAAATGGGCCTCGAATATGCATTGGTGTTAGTACATTAATCTCCGAATCTAACCTCCATTATCTGGCTGACATTCATAAAGCCATCTCAAATATACCATTCCACCAGCTATCGCCTTGACATTCGTTTGTCGACCTTTACTTCAACGGATAGATATCTATAAGATACTGTTTCTTATAGCTATCGCGGTCGTCTCCACCATTCCATGGGATTCATATCTCATTCACCGGAAGATATGGACATACCCCTCGAATGTGATTGTCGGTCCCAAACTGTTTTTAATACCTATCGAAGAGCTATTTTTCTTCGTGATACAGACATACAACACTACTCTTTTCTACTTGCTTTTCAGCAAACCAATCTTTCATTCGACCTATCTTTCGCGATGGGAAGGTTGTAATGCGCCGATTCCTGCCAAAACTGCGCGAAACTTGGGCCAATTAATTCTTGGATTTCTAATCGCAACAGGAGGACTTCTCATTTGGCAAAATGGCAAGGGAACTTATCTGGGATTGATTCTAGCTTGGGCAGGACCATTTGCGCTCCTGCTATGGAGTCTATCGCATCAATTTCTGATTGGACTTCCCTATACAAGTACTCTACTGCCAATTGCTCTACCCACGCTGTATTTATGGATAGTTGATACTTTGGCACTAAAAAGGGGCACGTGGACAATCGAAACAGGGACGAAATTGGGTCTACATTTATGGGATGGACTTGAGATCGAAGAGGCAGTGTTTTTCCTCGCAACTAACATACTTATTGTGTTTGGGCTCGTCGCTTTCGATCACGCATTGGCGATTTTGTTAACGTTCCCTACCTTGTTCCCGACTGTTCCCACATATCCTTCTCCAAAAATGCTTGTGCGTGCACTTTTAACAGACACGCTCGAATACGACATGCCCCGAGTTGAAGGTATCCAAAAAGCTGTGGACACATTGAGTAGAAAGAGTAGGAGTTTCTACCTAGCCAGCTCCGCCTTTCACGGTCGTCTCCGAATTGACCTGATTCTCTTGTAAGTATAGAATTCTGGCCTCTGCTCCTAGCCCTTACTGATTTGGATTAGATACTCATTTTGCAGAGTGGCCGATGATCTTGTTGATGAGGCAAATTCTGACTCTGAGGCTCGGGAATGGATCACTAAACTCACACACTACCTTGACCTAGTGTACGAATCAAAAGAAATCACCAATGCGAGTGCTTCGTGGCGCTCTGATGTTCACTCATACATTGAGAATAACTTTCCACCATCTGCATATGCGGCTCTCCGTCTTTTGCCAACTCATATTCTATCATCTGGTCCTTTGTACGAGTTACTAGCAGGATTCAAGACGGATTTAGAATTCTACAAACCAAATTCTGGCGAAGTGACTGGGGTTTTTCCGATTAGGACTGAGCATGATCTCAGTACGTACAGCACAAGAGTTGCCGGGACAGTAGCCGAGATGTGCTTGGAACTAGTCTTTCATCATACTTCAACCGTTGTTTTATCTCATCGACGTGACGATCTTGTTCAAGCCGGAGCTCGGATGGGGATTGCTTTACAGTATATCAACATTTGTAGAGATGTGGCAGCGGATGCCGCAATTGGAAGAGTATATCTTCCAACTTCATGGCTCGAGGAAGAAGATTTGAAACCTCAACAGGTTGTGGAAAATCCTACAGGACCAGTTGTCGATAAGTTACGAGGGAGATTATTGGAAAAGGGATTTGGAATCTATCGAGAGGCCCGTCCTGCTATCGAACAAATCCCAGGAGATGCCAGGGTATCTATGAGAGTTGTTGTTGAAAGTTATGTTGAGATAGGGAGGGTGATGAAAGAGCGAGAATATAAAGTCACACAAGGTCGGGCTACAGTACCGAAATTGAGGCGCATTGGAGTGGCTTGGAAGGCTCTGAATCAAGGTTGATATGATTGATATCTTTTGAAATACCATGAACACTTTAGTCTTGTTCCAGTGTACGATTTAGAATAGGATGTACAGCTCATAGCGGAAAGATGATAATCTGTGTACCCTTTTACTGTACTTGTAGCATCAAATGCTATTTCATAGATGAACATGTGGGACTTCCCTTACTTTACGAATACGAAACTATTCTTATCCGAGCGGGTTGAGCTTGGATTACATAAGCACCAACAATGAATGGATTGCCCACTTTAATTTGGATGACACTGTTGGAATGCAACATTATCTATCCACCGTCCAACATGTGAATAACTTCAGATTTTATTGGTCTTGTACCACATATTCAACCCTACCAACAATCTGTGATGGCGACAGCAGAAATGAAGAAAACAGCCATTGTAGTTGGTGAGTCCTGGTCCCACCACTGTGTTTTTACCCCGCGTCATTCAATCTCCAAACCTCGACATTTCATGAACTGATGTATATCGAAAATAGGTGCAGGAGTCGGTGGCATTGCAACGGCAGCACGTCTCGCCAAAGCTGGTTTCTCTGTTACAGTACTCGAAAAGAACAACTTTACCGGTGGTCGATGCAGTTTAATTCATCATGACGGATATCGATTCGATCAAGGACCTTCCCTTTTACTTCTCCCGAAAATGTTCAAGGAAACATTTCATGATCTCGACACTTCACTTGAAGACGAAGGCGTGAAACTTCTGAAATGCGAGCCGAATTATAATTTGTGGTTTGGTGATGGAGAAAAGTTTGAACTTAGTACGGATGCGAGTGTGATGAAGAGAGAGATTGAGAAATGGGAGGGAAAGGATGGGTTTGAGAGATATTTACAATGGCTTGGAGAAGCTCATCGACATTATGAGTTGAGTGTGCGGGAGGTTTTGCATAAAAACTTCACATCGATATTCAACATGCTACGACCCAGCTTCCTCCTCAATGTCTTTGCTCTTCATCCATTCGAAAGCATATACTCTCGAGCTTCAAAGTACTTCTGGACAGAGAGGTTAAGGCGGGTTTTTACTTTTGGGAGTATGTACATGGGGATGTCCCCATTTGACGCTCCTGGCACATATTCTCTTCTTCAATATACGGAACTCGCTGAAGGTATTTGGTACCCGATTGGTGGGTTTCATGCTGTTGTCGGGGCTCTGGTTCGGATATGCGAGCGACTGGGTGTTGACATTCAACTCAATTCACCAGTTGATTCTGTATTGACTTCTAACGACGGAAAAACTACAACAGGGGTTCTTTTGTCTTCTGGCAAGAAGCTGAATGCAGATCTTGTTGTTATTAATGCTGATCTCGTCTACGCCTACAATAACTTATTTCCCTCATCCAAATCCACGTCTTACGCCAGATCTTTACAAAAGCGAGCAGGTTCTTGCAGTTCCATTTCTTTCTACTGGGCTCTCTCTACACAAGTTCCACAACTCAACACACACAACATATTTCTCGCTGATGAATATCGCGAATCATTTGACTCTATCTTTGATAGGCAGTCCATCCCTGACGAGCCTTCATTCTATGTTAACGTACCCTCACGAATCGATCCGACTGCTGCCCCGAAAGGAAAGGATTCCATTGTGGTCCTCGTTCCCGTTGGCCACCTTCTCAATTCGGCTACGCCCCAAGGTGACTCCTCTGTTACATCTGGTGCTGGCATACCAAAAGAACAAGATTGGGAGTTGATTGTTAAGTCCACTCGTCAAAGAATCCTTCAGATAATAGAATCACGCACAAAATGTGGATCGCTTGAACCTCTAATTATCCACGAGGAACTGAATACACCTACATCATGGGAATCACGCTTTAATCTCGATAAAGGATCCATCCTCGGGCTTTCTCACTCCTTCTTTAATGTCCTTGCATTTCGTCCAAAGACTAAACATCCCGAGATTAAGGGTGTATATTTTGTAGGTGCGTCCACGCATCCGGGAACTGGTGTACCAATTGTGCTTGGTGGAGCAAAGATTACAAGCACACAAATTCTAGAGGATCTTGAAATTCCATGGAAGGTTAAAGAGAACATGATTCAAGATGAAGGGGTCACACAAGAGAAAGGAACGAGTAATTTGGATAGAATTGTTAAGGAAAGACCAATATTAAGTAATGTAGGAATTTTTATTTTGGCGTTGGTGGTTTTAATTCTTACAATGGGATACGTTAATAGTAATTTGGTGGTTTTATGGGACGCGGATATGAAAAGAGGATGGGGAAGTGGGAAGGCGATATAATCTTTCTCACAGTATTAAACATCCTGTACTTCATTTGCTTTGCTCATTCCTGTCTCGACTCGACTTTTGAAAGGTCCCACCCAAGTCGACTGATAACTAACATGTCGAGATAAAGTTTTATTATTTTCTTGTTTTCTGAGGGACCCAAAAGACTAGTGTCGGACCTGTCGGTAGCTAACAGAACTAGAATGATCTCCAGACTCCTGGTCTATAATTGATTGTGTCATCCCGCAAATAGGGGTCAAATTATGAGTTCTAGAGCCTTTTAAAACTTTCTTCCTTTCTACGAGTAGTATTCTAATATATTTCTCTAAGTTTTGATCTCCAACGTCGCACCTTTTTCAAAAATTCAATCTCAATGGGGTATCATGTTTTCCTTGTTTTTCCAATTGAGATGATGATCGAACTCAAGTTCGTTAACGGTTTTAGCATTAGCAAACCTTTATAAGTTTACTCGAGTATATTTGGAACTTCCAATTTGTCAATGATATACCAATGATATACTCGAGTAGTACGCCTGGCCAAGTATGGCACGGACCTTTCCTTCCGGAAGGGACGGACGGACGGGAGGGGTAATGAGGGGTAAGTTCCTAGTTGTGGGTGGAATGATATGATATGATTTTAAACAGGCTTTTGAGCTATGGATTTACTCATACCTTGTACGAGAATGTATGAAACTCTGATATTGATATTGGAGCGAATCGGATTTCTTACCGGACTTGTATGAAGTGTGGAGTGTGGAGTGTGGAGTATGAGAGTAGAAAATCCTGCTGTTTGTTTAATGATAAGATAGGTAGACCCTAGAATGCCTGGTTGATGCATGCATGTAAGAACAAAGAACAAGAGAAGGAGGAAAAATCAAGATTCTTGAGTATGCATTTATCTGTGTGGGACATTTGTAGTACAGAAATACGGTACTGTACGTTGAATTCGTTGACATTCCAAATGTTTTTCTTAGATAATGTGATGTGATGATTGATGGGGTAATGGATAATGAATAATGGGCTTAAGCGTTTACCTTATTGTCTACCTAGTAGGTATGTATATATCCTGGTACATTTCTCATTACTAATCACTTTGCCTTCGATCCCGCATAACCGACAATAATGTCGACTTTCTCCAGATACAGCAACTTGACATCACTAGATATTACCGTGTCATCGATTTTTACTACCAGTATTGCTATGATCATTATTATTACCTTTACTACTTGGAAAGCTAGAATTAGAATGAGTTTAGTTCTTGATAAGGAATTTAAATAATACCTTTGTTCAACCAACCTTTCCTTTCACAGCAGCATTTTTACAATTTTAAAATGATAATCAGTTGAACTTGAACAGATTCCACATATTCCGTATAGACAAGTGTACCGGTACCGGTAATGGAATTAGATATACGAGTACGGTATACACAAATGTTTCTATTGTTGGGCTACGCGAATTCTTTCTTCAACTTTCATTCGTAATGGAGATTTGGGATTGTGGTTGGGCTGGGATCTGGTTGGATTATATGGATAGGAGAGCTTTTCATACCGTATTCAAATCATGTCAAGTCAAATCAAGCTTTCATTGGCAAGTGGCAAGTGGTGGCAAGTGACTTTTGGTTGTATGTACTCGAGTAACACCAAAAAGTCTTGATATCGATGACAGAGCCGGCAGATAGGTGGGTAAGATGATTGATGGGATCATCAGTATGATCGAAGGTGGGAAATTTAGCTATGCATTGGTTCAGTCTGTTCTTTATAAACCACTTTCATTCGAATTTGTAGTATCTAATACTATACCATTTATTCTTTATACTTTTTTCTCATCTACATTATACGATTATTTCCAAATTTCGGTTGAGCTTTGCACCTATACCATATCCGTGTTCACATTATCTATTATTGATTTAATTCCGCATTGAAACCCCATACATATTCCCTCCATATTCTCTCAACATGATTGAGAAACGAACCAATGATGCATTACGCGCCAATCCCGATATTTTCCACTACCCTACGGGTACGGATATTAGAATCACCACCCATGGAAGTAATGTGTACTGGGCCATAACGGCAGTGATGGCCCTGGCAACCCTATGTTTCATTGGACTAAGCTTCCGCGTTCCACGCAGCAAGCGCATTTTTCATTATATTACGGCGTCTATTACGATGACGGCTTCGATAGCCTATTTTACCATGGCGTCGAACTTGGGTTATGCGTCCATTATTCAGGAATTTCAACGCAGTAATCCGTTGGTGCGTGGTGTGTATCGGGAGATCTTTTACGTGAGGTATATTGATTGGGTTGTTACGACTCCTGTAAGTTCCATCTGTCAGCTAGCTAGCTACTCGTTTCATCAAATGCTAACTTCAATGTCTTAGCTATTACTCCTAGATATCCTCTTAACAGCCGGTCTCCCATGGCCCACAATCTTATACACGATATTCCTTGACGAAGTAATGATCATCACAGGTCTCGTCGGCGCCCTCGTATCTTCCTCTTACAAATGGGGATACTTTGTATTCGCCATGGTAGCCCTCTTCGGCATCGCCTACAACGTTCTCTTCATAGGCGCCAAGCATGCCAAAGCCCTAGGCACAGCTGTCAACAAAGTCTACTGGACCTGCGGCGGCATAACCATGTTCCTCTGGTTTCTCTACCCCATCGCCTGGGGTCTCTCCGAGGGCGGAAACGTCATATCTCCAGATTCCGAAGCAGTTTTCTACGGTGTGCTCGATGTATTGGCCAAAGTCCTGTTTGGAACACTGTTGTTGATGGGCCATCGCAATATCGATCCTGCGCATCTGGGGCTGCATATTCGTGATTATGATGAGCAGCCAAATACGTTTCATGAGAAGGGAAATAGGGATGTGAATAGTGGGGCTCAGAGGAATGGGACAAATGTGGGTACGAATGCGGCGGTGGCAACGGGTTTTCATAATGGGAATAACACGCCGGCGGCGACGGCGGTGGATTCGAATCGTGTGGCGAATGATGCGGCGTTTGCGGGGACGGGGTCGGGGACGGGGACGACGGGGAATGTGGGGAATTCTTCGGCTGTGTAGTGGGTGTGTGTGGGTGAGATGAAGGGGGTGGGGGAGGGGGGTAGGGGATGTTTGAGATTTGTTAGGATGGGATGTGATGTGTGGTGTGGTGTGGTGGTTAGGGATGGTATCTGGGAAGGATGGATATGTTCCTCTCTTTTAATATGATGATGTATGTATGTATGTATGTATCTACACATGGTTGATGCGGATGGAGAATTGAGTGAATAGGGGAATGGTTAGGAAGTGGGAGATATACTGTGAAATGAAACGTTCTGGAATATATAGTAATATATTATTTTATGTATATACAAGTTTAATTTAATTTTATTTTATTCATATTCTTGTTCTTGTTCTTGTTCTGAGTTTTTTGTTCTTATGTATATATACTCGAGTACTATATATAATGATTACAGTAGTTTCATATAAGATACTAGTGATGTGATGTGATATACTCGAGTATATTGATTAACTAGAGATTTTACTCGTGCTCGTACAAGTACAGGTACAAGTATTCGTACAAAAGTATATATATAATACTAGCGTCACGCGTGTGTCTCATTAGCAATACTCGTTCATATATACTCATGTACTTATATACCTAGTGTTATGAATTTAGAAAATAGGGAAACGATAAATACCGCTATGTGATTTCTACAACGAGTACTAACTAGTGAGGATTCTGAGGAAGGAAGGAAAGGAGTTCAATGCGGGGGATTGAGGGATGAGGATAAGGATGTAATTTACCTACTTAACTCCCCCTCTTTCTCTATTGATATTTCTATTTTTTATATTCAGCTCTTTTATGAGTACTGAGTATACCTATCCTCCCTGATTATATAGTTACCTATTTACTACTTATCTATGTTATAATTACGAATATGAATACGAATATTAATACGTATATCTACAGTACAGGTAGTTTCTTAGGAGTTATCCTTCTACTAGTAAGTATACTAGTATATATAATTAGCATGTCCAATCTCCAAGTACTAGTACTAATACAATAGAAGGTAAGTCCAGATAGGATATATATACCGGCTTATGAAGAGAGTTGAATAATATACTCGTAGAAAGATTATATATAGAGCAAAAAAGGATGAGTAGATTTAGATCATTTAATAGTACTGTACTCGAGTATAATTTTCATTATCCCTTAGTGTCTGAGATCTGAGATCTGAGATCTAATATACTACGTATACAAACTCCCCTCCTCTCCTGAGCCCTAAAATCCTTATACTCTCCTGTATATTTGTTCATTTTTCGCTGGTGGATGCCAGTGTATGTACAGTAGATGAGAATCTTTTCAGTCATGGATTGAGATGAGAATTGAGATGAGAAGTGAATCTCTTGGGTCATGGTTAGGAATTAGTTTACATTTAATGGGCGGAATTCATCGTATATGTACAAGTTGAAATGTGTTTTCCACTTATGTGTATATACCAGTACTACTCGTAGTACCAAATAGATATATACACGAATATAACGTTCCTCTCGTTCTTTCTTTTAAATTTGATCTTCTGCTACCCCACCCAGTCCAATCCCAACCCAATCCATTCCATTCAATACCCTCCCTTCCTTAAATCCTATAATCTCCGGGTCCTCTTAAATTTCTCAACTTCAACTCTAACTCCGACATCCCATGCCATGCCATCCTATCCTATCCCATCTCATCTCCTCAAACCCCATCCCATATATTCCCCTCACACCCCTCACACCCCTCCCAACCAGAAACCAACACATAACCTAATACACCATACCCATACCAACCTGATACTAATAGAACAAATGATCTAATAAAATTCCTCGCATTCATTACCATCAACCCATACAATATTGTTCTCGCCACTGTCACCACTGACAGCAACAGAGGTAGCAGACGGCTCGCTAGAAACCTTGCTAGAAATATTGGTAGAAGCAGCAGAAGATTTGCTATATTTTTTTATTCTGGTGGCTAAAGTGGTGCTTTGTGCTGCGAGCGATGCGGATACTTGTGTGGAAATAGCTTGTGTGGAGATAGCAGCTACTGATGAAGATAATTGCGCGCTGCCAGTGGTGGTAGATACAGAGTTTGAAGCAAGGATACCGACTGAGCTAGCAACCACGTCAGACGCAACCACGGAAGAAACAACACTAATAGTATCTCCACTCAAACTAACACACGCAAACGACATTTTCGAAACCGGAGTTCCACTATCATTAGCGACGCTCAAATCCCAAGTCATATCAACATATGGCCAGCAAACCTTATCTGTACCAATCGTAACAATATCACCGCTCACAAAAGCACTTGTTGAAATAACTGGGGTTCCAACTGTTGCACCTTTGGAATCGATGATTTGGAATGATGTACCGGCGTATGTACCTGTACAGCCGAGAGGTACTGCTTGACAGGTCGGGGAGGTGAGGGTTTCCCATGTAACGATGGAGTAGTCGGAGTTGATGGCGGCGATATGCACGTTTTGATGGTCGTCGGTGGATGAATATGTGATCCAGGTTAATTGAGTATCGCCTTCTGCTGCACCAACGGTTGAAGAGGCTTCAGCGCCAGCGAGTGTCTGTTTATCGGTCATGACCGAGATGGCGACGTTGTGGTTGAGCCATCTGGGTGAACATTGAGTATATCCAGTTCCCATCCATTCATTGAGGGTGAGATCGAGAGCACCGCGTGATTGCCAGGCGAATATATAACCATCGGAACCAGGGATAGAGGCTAAGTTGGAGTATGAACCGGACATGCCTCCCATTGGTTCGCCAGAAACACCATTGGTGGTGTTTTCGTTGGCAATCTTTTGTCCGGACATATATTGAGTTTCGGTGTTCAACCAAATGTCGCCTTGGTCTTCGGCGCAGATACTGGCGAAAGGAGCGGCGTCGGCGGCTTCGAGTCCAATACCTGTGTTGTGGGAGCAACCGAACGTACTGCTTGCACCTGAGATGTTCTGAAGAGCCCCGGAATCATCGACGTATTTGATGGAATCTCCGAAATGACCAGCGGCGTAACCAGTATAGGCTAGGAATATTTGTGAGATTTATGAATGATTAGATATGCAAGAAGGGCAATACATACCTTCAACAACGAAATATCCAGCATACAAACCAGCAGTAGCCGAATAAACGAGATCACCATTGGCATCAGGAGTAGAAGTCAACCCATCCGAAGCATCAACACCCGGACCATTCAAAGCCGTCTCCCAAGTCTTCGTACCATTCGTATATCTGATAATCGAAACGATGGGGGAACCATCGGTCGGAAGATCGGTGGTGCCCGTCGCATTGACTGTTGCCATCAAGGCAAACCCATCATTATGAGCCACCAATCCAGTAGCTTCATATGCTGTAACAAAAACCGCATCTCCGACGGCGCTGAAATCGCTCAAGGAAACTTGTTGGACATATACTTTAGCATATGAACTATCGAGATAGGCGAGATAGGCCGAATTTCCATCGGGAGAAACGGAGAAAGGAGTTCGTCGATGGTGAGGGAGACCAGTCCAGTAGGCTGCTTTGATGGGATCGAAACTAGCTGCTAAGGTCAAGGAGTTGGGAAATGTAGAAATGCTCGCATCTCCAAAAACTGATGTGATGCCACTGGCAAGCACCGAATAAAAGAGTGTGGAACGCATGATTACGTTATGGTTTTTTTGGTAGTAAAGACTGAGGTTGAGAAACTTGTGTTCTCCAGGAAGAAAAGGAAGAAAAGATCTAGAATAGAAAGAAAGGTGGGCGATGAAAGAAAGATTCTTGGGGTTGTATCTTATATTTAATATCTACGTACGGAGAACTGGTACTGTAATATGCTAAGTCAATTACCGCCGGGCCCCATACTAAACCATGACAAGATCTACTCAGATCATTTGTTGCACTATGCAGATGGGCAATTGTTCTGTAACGTTTCCAAATGAATTGGTTCATTAATATATTTGACTTCAAAAGCGGATAAGGCGAGCCTCCCTTGAAAGTTAAAAGGAACAGTTGACTGGGGGAAGTTGGTTGTGGGGAAATTGATGTATTTCAGATGAAACGGACAAGAAGTTCAGAATTTAAAGAGCTCCTATTACCATTTTGTTTGCTGTATAAATGGCTTGAACGATATATACTTAATCGTGTATAAAGTTGTTGTATCTGAAGTTCCATGAATTGAATCAATGAGCCAGTCTGTTGGTGAAGTTGCGGGTTATAACTATTTACTGGTTATAGTTATTGAAGAAGGAAAGAAAGGTCTTGAGTTCAATGAAGTTGCTAATCAGCCTTACTCAAATGTCCTCCAATGACTAACCAAAGGTTTTCTCACTGGCACAACCATTTGCTTGTAAGAAAGGAAAAGAAGACTTTTCGTTTTGTACAAATCTGAATTGAAACATTTCCGAGCAGACAATGCCCCGCTCCCTTCTCCCTTATCCGGTGATTATGCTGCCGCTTTAAGTTAATATATTACTTTGCCCTCCGCCTTCTCGAATATTCTTAAAGCAGCATCAGCCGTGATATCCGTTCTCCACCAATAAACATAAGGGAGAGATCTCATAGATTAATCATGTTTCATATTGAGTATCGATGAGTCTAAATTTGTTACCATCATACTATCACCTCCACCGGTATCTGATATAGTAATTACAGTATAACTATGAGGCATTCACCTATCAAGTAGTTGGTTCTTTTAAACTTCAAAGAGTAGTCTTTAAGTTTCTACTTTCATTCTGTTTCTAATTCTGAGTAGGTAGTCTTATATTATCCGAATTCCTTTTCAGTTGAACTGTAAGTAGTTCGGTATAGATAAGCTGGATGTAGATAGTTATACTTATACTCATACTTATGCTTATGCTTATGTTTATATTTATATCTAGAGATAGAGAGAGAAAAAAGAAAAAAGAGAGGAGAGAAGTATAAGGAATAAAAAAGATATAAGAGAGATATAAGAATAGTTTAAGAGTGAGAGAGAGAGAGATAATAGAGAGATATAAGAGAGATACATATAATGAGAGAGATATAAGATAAGTATAAGAGAGGAGAGAGAGATATATAGATATAAATATATCAAAAATACAATACTATTATTCAAGTTTCCTCTATAACAAATAGTCTCTATTAGACTGCCTTATATTGTTTTTCAGACTCGATATCTTGAATGAAAATCCTATAACTATAATACAATAAACAAACAGATCAAAAACTTTAAAACCTAAACTCTCAAACTATAAAAACTATAAAAATACACCAAAAAGCCAAAGAATTATTCTTATTAAAATCACTAATTAAATGGCAATAAATAATATAATATAACTTAAAGTAAACCGAAGACCTATTCCCCAAAGACTTAGAACTCGAACTCGAACTCGAACTCAAACTCGAATTCTTCCAAGTTGAGTACTTTGTCATTCCTTTCCCTTCCTTTGCATCAATTCCTTTCCTTTCCCTTCCTTTGCATCAAATCCTTTCCTTTGCTTCAATCTCATTGTACTCGTATACATACACTTATTATGTATGAGAAGTATGAGAAGTATGTATGTTGGTCGAATAAGTTGGGAAAACATAGCTAAGAATTTCCTCGATTCTTTCTCCTCATCATGCATAAATGTATGTATGTATGTCGCACTATTCATCCGTAATGGTATCTATCGTAAAGTATCCTTTCCTCCATTCCTTTCCGTTCCCTTCCCTTCTTTCCGTATCCAAAAAAAAATCATCATCATAAAAAAAAATCCCTCATCCCCAAAAAAAAATCGTAAATATTAATTTATGATTCATGTCATATTCGTGCGTGGGAATTTAAAGTGTCTCGTGATCAGTCTTGCTGCGACGTTCGCGACCCTTGACCGACCATGGGAAATGAGCGACGGGAATGACGAAGAATGAATTACTAAGAAAGAAGACGTGTTAGTTTTTAGTTCCAAAGGGGAGATGAACATGGAGATGGATATGGACAAGTATAAAAATAAAACATACCTATCATCCGCAAGACCAGCCAACGCATTATACCAAGCGATAAACGCAGCGAAGATTCCAAAATAACCACCAGCCTTAATACAAGCAGAATTAGGAACACCCGCCGAACTCGCTCGTAAGTGACCGACTCCGAGCATCAGGAATGCCAAATCCAACGTGAAGAATAACATGAAGAAGGCAACTGTGGATCGTAACGTGCATATCAAGAGAATGGTAGTGAAGATGAACCAGCCCATGAGGAAAAATCCAAAGGCGTTGTTGAAATCGTTGATGCCGGATCCTTCGGCCCCGTATGTGGAGACAATCTCGAATCCACCGGGCGTGAGGACGATGGCGAGGGAGAGCCAGAATCCTCCGTAGGATGAAAGGGCGGTGGCACCAAATGTATTGCCTACGGCCATTTCCCTATTGATGAATTTAATTAGTTTGCTTGTTTCTGAGTTGACTTCAAAATGAATAAATAAATATGTTGATACGTACCACATGCCAGCAAGTAATTGAACGAGCCCACCATAACCAAAAGCAAGTGCGATGACAATACTCGGTTGAGTAACACCCGCGGTTCCGATATTGACAAGAGATAAAACGAAAGTCGTCAGAGCAAAAGCACTCAGACCCAAAGGTGCAGGGTTGGCAAAACGTCTCTCGGTCGTAGGTTTATACAGACCGGGTTGGAACTCTCCGCCAAATGCGGGGAAGCGTGCTGATTCTCCCGTATTCATATGTGCCAGTGGGTTTCCTCCATAATCATATCCTCGTGCGGCGGCGGAATTGTTGGCGTTGGGTCCAGCTCCATTGATGGGTGCATGGTCGTGAGTATGTGTACCAGTGCCGGAATTCTCGCTGCTGTATTCTTTATTGTATCCAGTATCTGCGGTGGCGGTAGTAGCCATGATAAATTGGTTTGTGTGTGGGATTGAGATTGGGATTTAAATGGTGTAATGTGTATGTGTATGTGTATGTGTATGTGTATGTGTATGTGTATGTATGTGTAACCAATATCAAAATTGTTAATCTCTTGGTATGAGAGTTCTTCGTTCAATCAATCTATCTGTTGTAATAGAAAATCCCAATAAAATTTGGTGAATGCACAAGACAAGAATAAAATAGAGTTTTCGAAACAAAACAGGATGAGAAGAAGAGGGGGGGGGCAAGAGAGAGACATCCGCATATATAGTGAATTTTATCAAGCTACCCTACATGATTACATCTGTGCGAATGGGGGGGGGAGGGGGATGACTGGGGTAAAGAGCCCTTTTCGCTCATACAGTCCGGGGGAGCTTGATGCTACCGCTACCGCTGTCGTGTTACAAAGAAATAGAAATTGAAATTCAGTAATCGAGTAAAATAGTAAATTGAGTAGCATTGACCAATCAATCCCCATGTTCTCATCTTTGTTGGATCTCCAAATGGAAAGTTAGAATTGGTAATGATTATCATTTTGAATATACCGATTGGAGTATCTTTGACCTCCGTCATCCACAGATAATCCTCTCTGCATATCTCTCCCTGCCGAGAATCCTGGTTTGAGTCAGATTTTTATAATAATTTCTAATAAATTTCATTGTGGGGAAATGAAGAAGAGAAGAGATCCTGTCATTGTTTGTTTGTGAAAATGTTTTAGTTTTCAGGTCATGTACTGTATGTGTTATTATTGTCATGTTTTGTGCCACCTGATATTGATTGAGTGCTCTTTTCCTTATTTCTTTCACGATACGATGTTGTGTCCGTTTGAAGAGGATGGATTAGAATTCCATCAAGTTGGAACACCTAGTGCGTGTAGTGAGACTGATATCGATCGTGACATATCTCCTTTTCCTATAGCAAAAGTAGCGACAACAGAACGGTTATAACTTGCCAGTACCGACCGATATATTTCTCAATTGCTGCTATATAATTTTAGCTGCACCAATCAATGTCTTCAATAATGGCACTTGTAATGGTAATATTGCAACTCCACTCCCCAGCAGAAAGCACGGGGCAATCAAGCTTTCAGCTAGAAACGGAATTTGAGTTCGGATTTGCAATCAACAACACATGGCTTGAAGCTACTTGTGATGGGTCTGTGTTGGATTTGAGTGGGTATAGTATAGGTATGGAAACTGGGGAATAGTAGTCGATGGGAAATCATGGAATGGCAAAAGTTGTCGGCATATAATACGAGTATAATATACCGGTAAATGATACTATATACTATACTATACTCAACAATGAAGAAGTTACCGATACAATCATTGAAAATCGGAAGTGTTTATTCAATATCTCGACTATGTATACAATGTACTGCTTAGCTGACTCAGATCCCAACTTGTTCCATCCATACCATACCCTGATACATTGAATAGCCAGCTACGGTCTAGGCTACCTACCTACCTACCTACCTAGGTTTATCGCCGAGGTACTTTCAATTTCATGCACCTATTTCCAAAGTAGGTTAACAGGTTAACAGGTACCTGTATAACCCCTGGATATACCTACCATTCGGATGTTTGTCTAGGAGGAATCATAGGCGTCAACTATGGAAATTGTTTGGAACGGATTGAGAAATTATATTAAAATGTTGAAGCCAGTGGATTTTCCTGAACGGATGATTTTCCATTGTGAATACCATACCGACCGGTATGTAATAAAATAATGAAGGGACCTAATTTGTACAGAGAGAGTACCACCTACCTACGCACAGGCAGGATTACCGCAAAATACCAAACACGGGAGTTGTACACCGAAGGAACGACCTGACCTGACCTGACTCAATTGCAAACATTGTGCATTGTACATTCATTGTACATTGTCGCGAGTCCATTTGTTTGGTACCGAAATCGGACTCGCAAAGAGAATTCGAACTCTCTGTTAATTTCAAATTTCAAATTTTATAAACTGTGTCCTTGACTCCTGATGGACAGCGAGTTCTCTTTTTATACAAATTTTATATAATACAAGTAGATCCTACCCATAGAAGAAATGAAATCAATGTAATGCAATGCAATGCAGATATCCTAGTACAGTACAAGTTAGTTATCCATAACCAGAACGAACCATCGGATTAGGGGACCAATTATAATCCACAATCCATATACCCCGATATACCTAGGTAGGTTCTACTGTAGTAGCTTGCATCGCTTACTTACCCCTTCACCGCACCAACTGCTTAGACGACAAATCATACAAATGAAATTCATAGCCTCAAATACTCGGTACAGCGGTACAGCAGCTAGCTAGCTGCCTGCCAGTAACTGTACAGGATTCAGATCAAAAATCAATATAATATACCGGTACAGTAGTAGAAACGTTATACAAATACTACCTACCCTACTCTACCTACCTAGCCAGCCACTTCACTTTTTGGTTCATCTCTATACGATACGGGAAATCACTAATACATACTAATACTAATAACTGATATCTATCTCAAAGGAAGAATTGAATTGGATTAGATTGAAGTTCGTTTGTCCATCCGGAAGAAAATATGCCGTGATGGTTACTGTAGTTATAATTCATGATATCTCCGTTTTATACCCGACGGCTAAAGGATGAAAGATTTGAAGAATGAGGATTCATGACGATATATGTACTGTATTTGTGAATAAACAATTCAAAAATCTGAAATGAAACAATCAAACAAAGAAATATCCAACAACCAATATCAAATCGTAATACCGGGTAATGTAATCAATGTAAACGAGGAGGGGCTGAACAAAGCAAGCCGGAAATCTCGGTACCGGATAAGGAATTGGGAATTGGGAATTGGGATAGGGATGGATAGGGAATGGGGTTGAACTAACAAATAAACAATAGGTGGAGCAAGGTGGGGATAGGTGGGATAGGTGGGATCTCGGAATCGGAATTGGAATCGGTATCGGAATGCTTTCCGCGTCTTCTTGGATAAGTGAAAAAAGGTAGATGAGCTGGAGTGGATATGCACGGGAGGATCATGTGATATGCAATGGTTTTAGGTTACTGTACTCTTAAATAATTTTACAACCTGATATAGAGTTACCGGTACTAAGTACTAGCTAGCGGTTGACCCCCCCTTCCCCGCCAATCCTAATAGTCACGCAGTTATACAGTTCTGCTCATTTATTCATTTATTGTTTGTTTCATCGTTTCATCATTACACTACAGTGCTACACTACACAAATTCTACTTGCAAGTAGATTGAATAGTTTCGGCAACTCATACATATCTTTATATTTAAACTCCAAACTAATCCAGTATATCTATCTAATAGTCCAAGAGAATCTCAAGTAGCCTACCTGTAGTCTATCTACAAAAAAAAGAATATTATCTACTAGGTTCGTCTATTCCAGATTACTTGATAGATATAACCTTATTTAAATATTACGTTTTTATTACAGAAATTATTATTTTGCTTAATTATAAATAATCACTTTTTAGAGATTAAGGATCGTGATATATAAAAGTTCTAACTTGAAGATATAACTAATTTGAATATTTTGTTTAGTCTAGATTAGTTATTATCACGGGGCTGGTACGGGTACTAGGTGTATGATATTCGACAAGGAGAGAAGGAGGCGTGTGGAGCGACGACGACTATATGGTGAATAGATGCCTAAGGCATTCATCCAAGTTAGTTAGGAACAGATAGTGAACCTGTAATAATACCCCCTCCCTTCAAACTTTGTTTATTCTTAGACAAATGTATAATATAATTAATAATATAAAGTCC